CAATTTTTACGTTAAAAGTTCAACCTTTCGGTAGTTACTGTAATGCGCTGCTTGAGGGAGCATTTTTATATGGTATGATTTAACCCTACTTAAAATGACTACATAATACATAGGAAGATATACAGTGAAAGTGTTGTGCTAGCTTCAAGTACATGAGACCCCACTATTAAGCGTTAGTGTTAACTTGTGAATTCCTACTAAGAATTTCAACCTGACCAATGGCCATTTCCGTGTGTATGAAAATATATAGATACAATGTAAACAAAATTCTTAATAATCATACATCCCATAGTGGTTAAGCTTGAAAATTAATAGTTCTCATAATAATCCTTGAGTTCGCAAGGTCTACCTGTAATTGTATGCGAGGTAATTTCTGTTGCTTTGGGAGCGTACGTCACAATAAGTGACGTAAAACTATTTTGCATATTTTTTATACATGCACATATTTATTACACTTATAAAAGATTATGTTTGAATATGTTTCACATGAAATCCACGAGTTCTCACGGATGTTTCCCCAACTTTTACAATAAGCATCGATAAAGAATGTGCATGCGAAAAGTACAGGCTTTTGAAATACCCGACCACCTGAGCAGAAGGTTTTCTCCCACCACAGAAGCCTTTAAATTAAATGGACGTCAAAATTATAGATTTAATACACAGCTGTCACCTAGCCTTATTGCCTGCGTTTCTCTTGTGACGCTATAGTTAAATACCAATGATTGCTTGTGTTTTGAATATGTTAACAACATATTCGAATTCCAGGAACCGTAGCGTTTTTTAGTTTTTTAAGAAAAAAAATAGCATAGTTAGAGTCAAAAGCGCAGGCTCTTATGAAAATGTCGTTACGACATTCACATTTGTACCAATAACTTCTAAAATATTTTTACAAATCTTTCAAAATACTAGTATCTTATTGTAAATAATAATATATGTATTGAAAATCACAATTAGAATAAGATATCTAAATTTGAGAAAGCCTGCTGCCACGATTTAAGGAATACTTTAATTGAAAGTTGGAACAAAATACGATTGTTATATCTATATATATATATAAGGCAGACGAGAAATAAAACATTGCGCATCAATTCAATTTTGAAATATTAATATTTTATTTTCTCCCTTATTAGTAACTCTCTGCTAAAAGATATGGAATAGCTCACATAATTTATGAAGAACAATGATAAAAAACACTAATTTTTAATTCAAACCAACTTTTAAGGCTAACTGTACCACTCGAACCCCCTTCAGCTGTTCCATCCACCTGTTCTCATATCTTGCAACTGAATGATCGTTATGTCTATCGCATGCAGTTCTCCTTGCTAAAACGCAAGCAGGGTCTGATGACGATATTTGTATACATGGTACGACTTAAAATTTTTTGCGATGATTTCTGTAAAATAAGTAGAAACGAGGGTTACACGCTCGCATAGTCCAAGGATTATCGAAAGAAAGTCTACTTTTGAGCCCCTGGGGCTTTATCACGATATTTGAGATCTCGTAAAAGTGAGTATTTTTTTCGATAGTCTTTTAACTGCGCACATGCATTATCGTCATTTTTAGTTGTTTTAAAGGGAATATGGAGAAAACTTTTCGGTTTTCGTGATATGTCAAAAGTCGTGATAAATCCCCAGCTGCTGAGTGATATTTTGGTTTTTGATAAATCGTAATTAATTTTAAGAATGACTGTATGTTACCCGCAGTGCACATTAAAATATAACATGGTGTAATAAATACATAAAATGGACTCTTCAGCCACCGAACCGATCAGCCAACCATCCATATTGTATTTTCTATTAAAGAGTGCAAAAAGCGTACTGTTCAACTACTGCTACACGTAAACAAGAGTATAGGACAAACAATTTCCTCGATAAATTACATGATAACAATATGTTAGGTGCACTGTTTTATATATAAATATAATTCTATATAATCATTTGATTATTTGTAAAATATATAATGAATACAGTATATTGAATATTTCAACAAACAAATTTTACCATTTTTTTTCTTTTTATGAGAATTTTTAACATCAGAAAACAGTTTCTTTGGTAATCTCTGGTTATCTAATTTTCGTTATCTTACGTAGAAGGCCTTTTATTTTAATACTGCTTTTCAAGGTGAGTTGTATTTATTTTCAGCAATAAACTGTAAGTAGTTGAACAACGCACTCTCTACTCTCATTGGTAGAAAATCCAATATGGAAGGTAGCTTGTTCTAAGCCTCCTGATTGGCTGATCTGTTCGGTGATTAAAGAGCCCACCTTATGTATTTATTACACCATGAAATATAAGATGGGGGCATTGACAGTCAAATTCGAACTTAATCACATATTTCGACGTATAAAATATGACCCCTGGCATTTAGCTCTATTCGCTCCAAGAATGACCGGAGCACCCTCCGTTCTGAAGGTACGTAACCATACTTTTTCATACGTTTGTAAATAAAAAAAGTTTGTTTTAAAAATATTTAGTACTGTTAATAAAATTTATTGAAAAATTTCAATGTTGGTTGATTCTCAAAGTTATTGTATCATTTTAAGCAGTTGCTATACATCGAATGGTCTATAAAAGTTAGCTATTAGTGTTGGATTCAGAGGTTATAGTAGAGTAATAATTTTTGACATAAATTTTAAGTGTGGATGTAAAATGTTAAAATAAATATTGTATGAAAAACTGGATTCAAAATCATAAGGTACAACATTGATAATACACTGCAACTGCTTCCACCCATTTTAAAGATTAATCACAAGACTTCAACCACTATATTTTATACATCTGCTATATATGCAGAGCAGACAAGGTAACTGATTTTTTTTAGGTGTACTACTTTATCAATAATATTACCTCCATATACTCATGATTACTCATGAATTTAAATCATTTAATTAACTTGTATGAATAGTGTTTTTGGTCTTACATGTTTTGTCATCAATTTTTTTTCAATACAATTTCTATTTTTCAAAACATCGTATAAAAACAAGATTTTACATTCAATTTGGTACAGTGGCGTAATTTCAGGGGTGTGTTTCAGTACCATTCTCAGACAACTTTTTGGCAACTTAACTATGATATACGATATCATAAGACATGATAAAGTTGCTGGTAAGTTGTTGGAAAGCAATACTGGAACACACGCAGGTTACACTTTTTTTACACCGTGGGCACTGGTGTAGATTTTCTTATCCCCTCCAACTTGATTCTCAGAGCAAGTCTTAAGCTAAGTCATCTTAAGTTTTAAATGCAACAAAGGCTAAATTTAATAACCTCCATGTCAGAAGTCCATAGAGTTTCTCACTATTTATGAAAAGAGACCCCTTGGTTTTAAATATTCCTAGATCTAGCTGTTCTACTTCTGTTTCTTTCGACCAGGTATGTGACGTTTGGAAATACTCAATGATGTTCTATTCAAAATTTGTTGGTCGAAAGAAACAGAAGTAGAACAGCTGGATCTAGGGTGGATCTATTATATAGATGAAGGCTAGATACATTGTATTTGTAGTTTTAGATCTATAATGAATTTAGGTAAGTTATAGAACAGATTCACAAAATATAAAAGTTAACACTCTATACAAAAACAGTATATTAAGATATTAAATTAATAAGTAAATACATTTCCTACAAATTACATCTAACTTTTAAAATTTACTGGGACTCTGATTCCGATTTCTAGGGGAAAAATCAAAAGTTGTATGTCTTTTAATTAAACAAACTGTCGTTATCATATAACTTTAAAAAAATTTTTTCATTATTTTCATTACTATTTATTTCATATTTTTCGGATAACATAACCTTGTTACTTTTACAGCCCGTAGTCGTTAAATCATTGTTACTCTGTAACGAGTTCTTAAATCTTGTTTTTCTTAAGTACTTAATGCGAATGGAACTGATGATACTACGCTTACGTGCTGATACTTTTAAATTGTTAGTTATATTACGAACAAGTCTGGGTAGCATTATAAGCAGACTGCACTAGCTCGTCGGTGAGTGAACAAAACTATAGTGTATACTTTGGTACACGTGCTTATCACGTGATATCATCCAGTACTTAAAGGTATCCAGCTAATTAGCTAAAATTAGCCAAGAATAGATCCAAAACTGCGAATACAACGTATCCAGACTTGATTTATAGGATGGATTGATTCTGAAGCTAATTATCAATATGCTTTTATTAATTTATACTTGGATAATTATCCCTCCCCCCTTTACGTGAACTGCTAAACACATTATTATCGTAATATATTAGAATATTTCTTCATTAAAAAAATACTAGTGACACATTTTTGTACGGGAATAATTAGGACCATAATAATTAAAACTTGATAAATACAATGCTCTTATATTATGCATAGCAATTTTCAATAAATCGCAAATTATGTTCGAAATACGATCAATTATTAAATTCAAGCAGTACCTACATTTCCATCATTTTGAAGAAGGACTAGTCTCGTTACAGAAACAAGTTTAAGTAAAACTTTAGGGTTATTTTTCTCATTTAAAAAGTGAAAAAAGAAATACATTGAATAAACTTCAAACATTTGTTTTTGACTTACATAATACAATACGATATTCTTACTACACTTAACTGACAACTAAATTCAACCGTAAAGGTTAAAGATAATTTGATTGGTTTGAAACTTCGATTCTGAAGTTATATTGGTTTTTAGTCAATTGTTAAAATCAGCGTAAAATCTACACCTCAATATAATTTCCAGTTTTCGTTCTTCGACGTTAATTAACATTTTTTTGTGATAGCTTGAGTACTAAAAACTAGAACTATTTGATTATTTTTACATAATTCTATGTACTTTAGGAATTGATTCGTTTATAAAAAAAAAATTTTTTATTTTTGATTTCATTGTCGTTTAAAATATTTATAGAGAGTCTGTTTCATGTTACATATTTGAGGAGTTAAAATAAACTTACTAATAATTGTCATTTAAAGCAAATAAAAGTAAATTAAACACTAGAAATAGTTATTTACGTGGCACGAGTACTCACCGGTGCTCGTCCTTTGCACTTGGAATGAATTTTGTACATTCCCTTTTTTGAAAGGTAGCTTCGATCCAACTTCTTTCTGTAGTCTAAAAGTAAGTAAATGGTGAGTACATTAATAAACACAATTGATTAAGTATAAGGAATTTTATTGTATAACTGAATCTTTTGGAATATTGTCAGTTAGAAGGTATCTAAAGAGGCTTCGTTGTTTAGTGCTATATACCAAGCGAGGGAGCTTCGAGGACTGTGTACATAATACTACTTAGTCACATTTTAAATTAAAAATAAATTGAATTACTAAAGAAACTTCAGATTATTTATTGGAAGGAAGATAATATTTTGATATTACTAGGAGTGTGTACATAACACGACTTAGTCAAGTTTTTAATTAAAAATAAATTAAATTACTAAAGAAACTTTAGATTATTTATCGGAAGAAAAAGAATATTTTGATATTACTATCTGCACGGGCACCGAAGATAATAAACTACTTATTCGTCGATTTTTAAGTAAACTAAGTTGTCAAAAACTTATTATTATAATTAAATAAATTCAGCAAAAAATAATTCGTATAGGTATGACAACTGAGTTTTGATTTATCAAGACACAGAAATTTCACTTTAAGTAAAAATCATTTCAATACTACATCAGGGTTTACACAATTATTGTGTAAACTTTGTTACTGTTTACATGTTGAGAACATGGTGGTCAAGCCCAAAAATTAAAAGAATTTGAAGTCTACTAATACTTTTGAATTTAAGACTTATGTGTTTCATTTCATAAAACAATAATTTACGAAAGTTACTGCTTAAAACTTTTATTTATTCACTACTTTTTACTTTATACGTAATTAGTATGTATTTTATTATTACACAAAAGAAACAATGATAATCAAATCGTGTGGGTAAGATGTACAACTGATAGTATACCGTTAGGCAGTTTTTGCTCCACGCTGTTCTCGTAAGACGTGTAACAACTGTGTAAACTGTGACCAAGTAGTGCATACAATGTATTTAAATGAGAATTTTTTTTTAAAAGCTATTTGCTCGAGAAGGAGGTTATAAAACATGCTATTAAGTATAATATCTAAAATAGTTAAATTACAGCGTCAATTTTTTTTTACGAAGTCAGCACTCAGGAAAAAATGATGAAGTCACTTTAAAAGATTTCATAAGCATATAAAATTATTTACTTAATTTCTAGAATCAATGATTATGACATTTCTAATAATTACGTATTTCAAATTGAATGCACAATCAAATAATCCTAAACTAAGCAAGCAGTAAAAAAAATTGCATTTATTATTCGAATACTTAATTCATACTGACAATTTTTTGTAAGTTAAGACATGATTAATTATATAAGTATAAAATCGATACATTGATAAGTTTGAATGCTATTGACGTTGTCGCGAAGTAACCAGTAAAATTTTTATTTTTATGATTGTTTTCAGACACTTAATTACTTAGATAAATAATTCAAGCTCCAATACGTTACTACCTGAATAATGAATAAAATGTAATGTAAAATGTAAATACTATTGAATAACTTTACATAATTATGTACAAAAACGCACACAAAGGACACTTATTCTTGAACTCTTTTTTAAGACTTATAAAATTAAATTTCTGCTTTACGTGACAGTTTTATGAATGTTGCTTCTTTAAATTGTTAAACATTTATCTAAAAGTCTAAGAATTAGTGTCAGTTTTCGTACTTCAATAAAATCTTTTTTTTGAATATATTTTATTTAAAAAAAAATGTTTAAAATAATGTACTAACAAATAAGCATTACTTGCAACTGTGACACGTTGAAACATCTAATGCATGCGAATTAAAACTGTGAATACACGTTTGATGCAAATTTTTGTGAGCTTACAAATGTTTGTGTAATAATGCAGTATTTTGGACATAATATCGTGATGATTACGTAAGGGCATAGCAAAAAATTTGTATTTGCATTGAAAATAAAAATTATTGCTATTTTGTTTAATTGGTCATTGTTACGGTTTAATAAAGTTCTTTTTGTGTAGCAATAATACGTGGTTAGGTACACTTAATTTATTTACAGTTTGGCACATACATGTGGAATCAGTATATTTATTAAATTTAGTCTATTTTTTAAATTCCAATTTTCACCTAAATTCGAAAAATCGATTTAATACATGAGCTTTGATATGAAAAATGAAGTATCTGAATTGCAAAAAAGTAAACATTCAGGTTTGATTATAATTTTTTAAGTATCTAGAAGTAAACATTCTGTACATTTTTAGATGTATGCCTAGAGTAAAATACATTCTAGAAAATTTCATAATATTAGCAGTTACTTTTTAACAAAATAAGTTACTTTAGCAGTTTAATCGCAGTGTCTGAACAAAATTGAAGTCAAAACGTTGGACATATAGAATGGCGTTTTTAATTAATGTCATGTGAAACTAGTACAGCAATACTGTCTCATATTGTTTCATGCTCTGGAAGTAATAATAAGCCTATGAACACACACACAAACTTAATTGTTGGTAATGTAAAAGTAACCAGTACAATTATATTTGTACAATTAAATCTTTCCATATTATCATCCTTTACTATCTTTTGATGTATCTTTTCAGAAGTAAATATTTTTTAATAACAAGATTTTGCTTACTATCCCCACCTATAATAATAATAATTTAAATAATAATAATAATAATAATAATTATAACAATGAAAAAAAAATACTAATAATAGTAATAATAATAATACTAATGAAAATAAAAAAATTAATCATAACAATTATGATAACAATAATTCAAGTAATACTAAAAGTAATGATAATAATAGTTATAACAACAAAAAGAACATAATGTAATGGAAAAGTAGTCATTATAAATTAGACTATAGAAAAAAAATCAATATACCTTTGCCTTCTTTGTTTTGATTCTCGGAGTATTAGCTCCACAGATTACACTTCCAATCGCCATCTTGTTGAGTCTTGGGACTTGCCAATATTAACCTATGATTCATCCATTGAGAACAAGAAATTATAACACTAAAAAAATTAAATGCATTCAAAGAGCTATTAAAAAGAGTTAACAACACCGTATTCGATTTCATATTGGCTATACATCGCCAAGAATTAGGTGTACTCCCGCGTTCTTCAGCCACAATAAGTACGTTACGTTCATTACACTAATTACGTATCACCAAATTGCTGTTATAATTAAAGAATGATAAAATCTTTTCACGAACGGAGCTTTGTCTATTCACAAGTTTTTTTGTACAATATTGGGGATCCAAATAGGACAGATGCCGATAACAACAGAGAAGAATAAAAAAGAAAAAAAAAAAAAGAGAATAGTGAAAACGATCAAACTGTGAGCCCACGTAAACAGTCTAAGAAATGTCAGACACCACATGAAACTGTTTCGAGCGCACGTAAGAATTGGACTCACGAGCCGTCGTTTTGAGAGATAAGATAAATTTTCATCAGATAAGAGAAAGAAAGACCAGCGACGGTAGCTAGGCAGTGGACTGGGAAAAAGAAGAAATACGATAGAGGCCACGCATACTTTTGTTTGGGTGCCCGCATCTTAAACAGCAGTAAATTGTTCTGGTCATTGACAGGGCCGGATTGTCTGCCTTATTCAATACTATACTCTTTCGCAGCACGAACAAAAAAAATGCGGCAAAATTTTGGCTTTTGTCTTTGTTAATCTAATTACTTTTAATAAAATTACAAAGGTTTGAGCGCATTCGCTTACATTTTACTTAATTAACAGACTAAATATATATTTATCGGTTTATTGTTCGGCGTATTTTTTTCCATCAAGTCAAAGAGCTTTCCATGTAATAAGAACCACGATAAGTCTGACGATCATTAGTCCAAACAAATGTGTTTTATACGTTGCTCAAGTGTATTTTATAGCTTTTTAGGGTTTTATGTCCACCTACAAATCTACCTCTGTACTGACAATATGTATGTTGTTTTAACGCTCCAAACTTTTGTTGAAATTTGTGTTTTTTTTTTAAATTAAAAATTATGTTCCTCATAAGTTTGTTTATAGAATTGTACAAGACTTTTAATTGTGATATAAACTACCAAGTTAAAAAATAAATTTGTGAAAATAAAATTTTTTTTTAAGTAAACGCCAATCGTGGAGTGAATAATACATCGTGCGTGAAAATTGGTCTATTTTAAAAGCTTGTGCGTTTTAGAGACAAACAAACTTTTAGAGAAATTTTAAATGATATATGCAATGATAAATAATTAGTTTTAGGAACACTTCGAAAATAAAAAATGTAATCAAACAAGTTTAAAAGTCTTACATGGATGTTTGATTTTTTGATTATTAAACATAATATTTTTAATGGTGTTTTCCGTGATTTACAGCTTTTATATGAAATGTAATTGATTGTGATTTCATAAACGAATAATAATCCAGTAGGTTATCAATTAATATAAGTGTATTTTCAATCTATAACGTTAACAGTCAGTTTTAGTTTTTCACTGCACTTTTTGTATTGGTTGAGATTTTCATGGGAAATTGAATGGATGAATGTATACACATTTCAGTGGATTATTGTAGTTGTTGAAATTTAATTTGTGCAACTTGTCACAAAGATGAAAAATAACACGAAAAATATCGCTACCACAGCTAAAAAACCATATTGTAAGTAGGTACGGCATGTGATAAGTTAAAATACAGAGCAAGCATAATGTAATACGGAGCAAGTATATAATTCGAGATCTGTTTATGATTGCCTTTATAAGATGCTCATTAATTTCAAAGAGTACTTTTCAAAAATGATGCAGTAAATAATTAAAGTAAAGGAAAACACCAGACGTAGGAAAAGGTATTTTAATCTAATGTACGGAAGTTCTTTTTTAAGTGCTTGACGGGTATACCTTTGAGATAAAATTTTTTTAATATAAAATTATATTTACATAATTATAGTCCTAGAGCTCATTACAAATTTTATTGTCTGTAAGCATTGAAGTTGCAAATTTCTTCTTAGATAGCGCTATTTTTTTATAAAAAAAGAAGCCATGGTTACCTAGTATATAATTGTTACAGTGGAAAAATAGTGGATAAACACTTAGATAGTAATTCATAGAGCTAGCCAGTCCTTGTACGCATGTGATAAACGTCATACAGTAGTGCTTGGTATTTTTCTAACTGATTGTGAGTCACTGAGGCGCAACAGCTACATGAATATGCGTGTACAAACACAGTCGACCAGATAGTGATATTTATAGAACTTTATTTAAGTACACTTTTTTAGTTTTCTAATAACTTGTATTTAATGCAATACTGACATGTACCCAAACGATTTTAGTAAAAGCGTATTTGAAATATTTACACAATAAATACGCACTCACGTTCATTACTCAAGAAGATCTGTTGGATCAGTAGTTCTGTAGATAAAGACTAGAAAACAAGGTCAAAATAAGTACTTACAGAGGATAGATTCATTCAGACACTAATTCAATAAAGAAAACTTGAATAAGTACAAAAGAATGTTTTAAGTAATAAAACAAGAAAACTGTGATTATGCAAAAGGTCTCAAGCACGAATTTAGCCAGACTGCATCAGCTGTGCGGTGAGTTATCAAGTCAGTCAATTAGCTATTCGCTACGTGCACAAGCTGAAAAAGCGATCGCAGTAATACCTGTGCTAATATGTGAAACTAAACGATAGGTTTGTCTTCTGCTAGCAGACTGCTAAGCATTACTATCATCAGAAAGTTATGTGTTTATAAATCGACAACCATTCTAAGGGTTAAATTTTTAATAAAATTATGAGTAGTATGTACATATTTTACTCAGGCATGTTCATTAAAAAACGCAGTGAAATACATTGGATACTGTGTATTTCTTAGAGTTTTTAGCTGGGGCCTGATCCTCTAAGCGTATCCTCTAAGCGAACCTGTGTACATACTGTGTGAACACGCCGGTATAGGGCTAACGGAGCTCTCTGATTGGTCAGAGGAGGTCTGTGTTGACTACATTGCAAACTAATAAAACATATCTCGTATTACACAGTACACGGACTTGTGTTGAAGTAATACTCAAGCGCTTATAGTGCTTGTAGTACAAATTTTGTCTTTAGTTATTCACATAGGATTGTACCACTTGAGACATTGTATTAATTCGTGATATAATAAACACAGAACCTTTCGTGTATCTATCGAGGTGCTGTGTTCCTATAGGTATCAAGCACATATCGCGAATATTGCCTTCTGCTGTGCCAGACCAATAGTTCTCGTTTTTTCCTAGGATGGCGCTGCTTCAAAATTGTGCACATAGCGAATAGCTAGCCAACCAGCCACGGACATACAATCAGGCAAGGTCTACAGCCCAATACTCCCTTCTTTTTACACTCAGCTAACTCCAGTCTCTTAATTTTCTGCAGCTGTAAACACATTTAAATTAAGTATTAGTACTTTTATTTTGAGCAAGTAAATACTTCTGACTTAAATTTTACGTACATTCGGGTTCCGAATCTAATTTTACCATTTTATCGAAGCAGTTTATGTGCTTTTAACGGTAGTGGTTATTGGTATTATTTTTTAGTTGTGTTTAAAGTACTTTTACTTTTCTTTGATACCCAAACTATTTTATTAAATCTCTGTGTTACTGAGACATGTACTCTAACTTCTGATTTTTCTCTTTCGAGCAAATCTTCTTTTAATTCCTCTACATTCTTATCAAACTTTGTCATGTTATAAAACTCATTTATCGTGGTGTATGAAACACCTGACATGTCGAGCACCACAAGTTGAGTAGTCGAAAAAGTGGAAGCTTATGTATGACTTATTCACTTTCTTGATTCAGATTATTAAATAGTTTTATGAATTACCTTCAGTAAGAGTTGAGCTTACACAATCTTTAAAAATAGCATTTGTTGATGCCTCTAATGTTTCAGTTCTGTTTACGATAATTATGCCAACACGTTTCTCTTAAATATCTATGTCCTCTTTATATCCGACCAATCTTCTTCTAAAGAATGTAATTGACTTTGTGGTAGATGAGTTACGGCACTTTTCTTTTTATTTAGGGCTTTCGTGCTCTTAAAACCTCCTTTTTATAATTTACATCTTTGAAGCTGTCACTTTCATTGCCCAGTTATTATTAGTATTGATCTTGGTATACACTTTATCATATTAAATCTTTTCAAGATAATTTTTATGTACGTACAGGGTATTTTTATCTAACTTAACGTTTCATCAATTTTTTTCTTTATTAGGGGCTCTGCCTCCTGCGAGTTTTTATCAACCCTCCAAACTTTCATCAAATCCTAATATCTTTTATAATTTTTCAAAAAATTAAGCAAATAAACAAAATTTTTTTATCTCTATGCAGAGATATATTCATACTTAAGAACATTTTATATTCTCCTAGATATTTCATGCAAAACGCTTAGCTCAAACTCTTTTTACCGTTATCTAACTTTTCTTGGTTGTTTCCTGCTATCAATAAATCATTTACATGTAGTAACTACAATGACTTTCAGATTTCCTTCCTTTTTTTATATGAATACATATGTTTCATTGAGGACATTTTCTAAGCCTAGCTCTTACATCGCTGAAGTAAATATTTTGTTCCATCTCTTTGGTCTTGTTTTTAATCTATAGAGTGCTTTCTTTAGCTTGCAGATTTTACTCTGCTTGGCATTTTCATTAATCTTTACAACATCTGGAATCATCACTTGTACTTTTTCTTCGATTTCTCTACTTTAAAAAAGAGTTTTCCCATTAATTTTAGTACCTTTAGCTCGTAATTATTCACAATTATTGAAACTTCTGTTACCACAGCTTATCTCAAGATAAGAAAGTTGGTATCATTAAGATAACAAACATTTTTTTTATTGTTTTCTGACGGAAAGTTGATATTTTGGACCTAATTATAGGTATAGAAGTCATACATTCCTGACCAAGTTGGAAATCTTTTTGATGCACATTAACAAACTTTGTAGTTACT